TATATATATATATATATATATATATATATATATATATATATATATATATATATATATATATATATATAGGGATGAAACAAATGAAAGAAATAAACTAGTATATAAGCTATATTTTGTAATTTGCAAATGTGTTGCTATTTCATTGTTCATCATCTCTTAGTGTGTCACATGTGCTATAATATTTCTTTGTACGTTTTACGTTCATGTAACCAAAGAACTTATTAAGATCGGTACCGGCGACGTCTATATCGACGATGATAGATGTTGTTACAAATTAGGATTTACGGGCAACAAGTCGTAACCAAAGTGTTGGCTGGGAACTTTCGACCTCAAAGTCTACATAAACGACAAGTTGTCACAATAGGTAACTCTGGAACCGAAAATATTTTACTGTAAATTTTAAAATAAAATTATAAGAAAACAAAAAGATGTCAGATTTGTTTTTTACTATAGCAATGACATGTTGTCCGTATAACCGATCTTGGTGTGGGTTATAGGGACGACATATCATCTACACATGTTGATATTTCGTTTTTTTTTTTTTTTATGATTTCTCTTAAATAAATGAACGACTTGTTGATTTGGGCTATAGAGACGACATGTTGTTATAGGGTTCTAATTTTAACATAATTTATATCGCGATCTGCTTAATAGCATCGCAACCTCAAATTAGCTTTTGCTTTCCCTCTCTCTCTCTCTCTCTCTCTCTCTCTTCTCCCTCTGAAGTCGATGACCTCTGTTACAACCACCACCTTCACCGTCAAACTCATGTAAGCTTCTATGTCCCTCCTTTTTTATACAATTACAACCTTCGGGCACCATTTTCCTCTCTTTCTTATTCCATTGAACACAAGCCACAACAACCAACATATGGCTGCTACCACCAGGCTTGTTCTCATATATTTTTATTTCGCATCTTTTTTTTCTCTGATTTTGTGTTTTATTTCCAATCACTACCAGTAACCACCGTAGGGCCACCGTCGGCTACCACAACTCATTCCGAAAAACTACCAGAATTCCACAACTACTAGATTTCGGCCACAATAGTAGGACAACTTGGTACGGTTTCTAGCACTTTTTTTACTTTCACCATTGTTTAAGTTAATCGTAGACGTTAAGTGGTTGCTTTAGTATGATTTTAATCTTGTTGGGTGATTTTTTTATGCGTTTTGATTCTTCCAACAACCAAATGATGCTTCAAATCATGCTCACACACATATTCATGTGCTACATTATGTTTTAAATGTTGGCTACTTTTTTTTGTATAAATTTGATCTTGATTAGTGATGTTGGCTACTTTTTTTGTATAAATTTGATCATGCTCACACACATATTTTATGTTCGAGATGTTGGATACCTGTTTTAGTATATATTTGATTTTGTTTGGCATGTGTATACAAATAATTCTAAAAATAATAATAACTTAAATAATAACAATATATTATTAGTGAATAGAGAACTCAATCCACTAGATACAATATTATAACTATATAAAATAATCTCATTACCTTAATGTTCGTGCACCCTCATGAATAATAAAGACATATCCTGATTGTGAATTACAATCATCTATTTCTGGTTGAAAGAAGCATCAATGTAACACTTTACACTTAGATCTTCTTCACAGCCATTCAGTGACTATCTCCTGCATTTTGTTGATTGTTGATATCTTCTCGTCATTCTCAAAGTATGAACTTAATATTGTGCCATATGTCATTGATACATATCCTCTCTTGGAGTTTTCCATCTTAAACCACTTCAAGACTTTATAAATGTATGTACTTTGGCTTAAGCCTATTAATCGCTTTGATCTATCTATGTAAATCTTTATACCAAAAATATATGCTACCTCACCTAGATCTTTCATTGAAAAACACTTTCCAAGCCAAGACTTTACACCTTGAAAATTTGGAATGTGATTTCCCATGATAAGTAAATCTTCCACATATAGAACTAGGAAGGTCACTAAGCTCCCACTAGTTTTCTTATAAACACAAGATTCATATTCGTGTATGATAAAACCATACTTGATGATTTCATCATCGAATTGGTGATTGCATTTTTGAGATGCTTGTTTTAACCCATAAATGCATATCTTGAGTTTACACACTTCAAAATGTGTTTTGTCTAGGGTAGTACTAAGATAGTAGTGAGAATAAATAATAAACACTAGTATATTCTCTTTACCTAATTAATGAACCAAAACAAGCTTTTCAATTAATCATAATTTTTTGCTAACCTAATTAAACAAGCTCTTAATCAAATTAGAAAAGTTGCATTATGATCTTTATAAAATTCCTAGCAATATTCAATACTTCTCACAAGCTCGGAAGCGTAAAAATATGAAATTTCAGTTTATACCAGAATTAAATAGCATCACGGAACCAATCTAATATTTGTTACTTATCATCAGTAGATTAGAACAATTACATATCCATTAACTTATTATCTATAATGATTCAATCCTAATTAGGTGATCAAGCTAAAAACAATCAAAATCAAACATTCAGTAAGATCAAAACTGAAAAATCTAGAAAGAACCACAAATCAAAAATCAGGTCTAATGATTGATTACCTAAAAAGTACTAATCTATGCAGAATTGAAAACTAGGGTTTAACCATACATGGCTAAAACGAGTGTCGAACAATAAAAAGAGACATTAAACTACTGAGTCTTACTAAACTAAATGATTGAGATGATCCATAGCCTTCAGATCTTCAAAAAGTGAAGAAAAAGTGCTGAAAATCGCTATCATAAGCCGTTTTCGCCGTCTGGGGACATTTAGGGTTCAAACTAATCAGATATGGAGTCTTTATATAAAAACCAACAATAAAAAACACGTTTTTTCATAAAATGTGATCGCATTCAGATTTTTCCTTCGAAATCCCGAAAATTTCTATTTTTCGCATTTAGTGAAGTACAATGCTATTTTGAACACTTTTCTCACATCAAAGAGAAGTTAGGATCACATTCTGGGCATCGACGATCACATTTTCATTTTTGCAAAATTTTGCAAACTGATTTTTGGTCCGGCAAATCCTCGAAGCAAAAATGCGACCACATTTGTTGTAAAGCATGATTACATTTTTAATAAAATGCGCGTTTCGGCCGTGAACTTTTCAGTTTCATCAAATCCAACCCAGGCTCCAGCTTCCTCATGTATTTTAGCACCATTAAGCTCCAAATATGCATCCAAAGTTGCTCCCAAAATACCGATCCACTCGAAATATCTGAAAACGACATAAAACCATGAGTAGAATGTGAAATTTTGACGATAAACATGAGTTGAACATTATTTATAGTAATGAACATGAAAAAGCATATAATACGATGCGAAATGCTAATAAAAACTACTCTAAAAGATGCATAAAATGACATCTGTCAGCACTCCTCATTTTTTTTTTCTTTTCCCTAAATTAAATCGGCTAAATTTAGATCACATTACAAATTTTAAAGCATTTAAAGTAAGTTACAAATATAAACATGTTTATGAAAATAACTATTTTTTCTATGGTTTTAAGGCCTATTATAATTTTTCTTTCAAGTAGTTTTAATCTAATAGTTAAATTACAGTTTTTGGTACCTTACTACAATTTTTCCTCCAGGTAATTTTAATCTAATAGTTAAATTATACTTTTTATCTGGGATAATGACTTAAAAAGGTAATATATTATTTGATTTGTACACATTTAGTCACTGACTTTTTTTCGTCCACATTTACCCCTTCAACTTGTTAAACTGTACACATTTAGTCTTTATGATCGGCTACTCCAGGTTAGCCGGTAAAAATGACTTAATAGGGTAATATATTTCTCACTTTGTACACATTTAGTCCTTAATATTTATGTACACATTTAATCCTTAATATTTTTTTTTGTTGCAAAATAAGTCATTTTTGTTTTTGTAATCATTCAGTACTTATGAATGATTTCCTTAGTTTTTCTCGCAACATCTTACATGGGATAGCCATATGGTGGTGGGATAGGTTGAGGTGGTCCTGCTATATGCTGTAGGCCAAGATACCTAGTACGTGTCGGCTGTAAGTCGTAGGCACGGAGGCTCGATTGGATTTGTTGGATCTATTGCATGTTGGCATTCTAGTCCGATGACTGATAGGCCAAGGTATCCCAGTCTAATGAGTGTGGGCCCGTTATGCATGATAATGCGTTTGTTGTATCGGGTATTTTACGGGAAACTCACTAAACTTTATGCTTACCCAGTTGTTTATGTTTTCCACCAAACCCTGGGTATTCCAGTTCGATGACTGATTGGATCTGTTGCATGTTGGCATTCTAGTCCGATGACTGATAGGCCAAGGTATCCCAATCTGATGAGTGTGGGCCCGTTATGCATGATAATGCGTTTGTTGTATCGGGTATTTTAGGGGAAACTCACTAAACTTTATGCTTACCTAGTTGTTTATGTTTTCAAGTTCTATCGTTGATCGTGGGAAGGCGAAAGCGTGACTGTACACATTCATCAATAGTATTGAGGAGTCTGTGCTTCTTATATTACTCTGATTTTCGATAAATGTATTTTGGAATAAACGTTTTTTCTTAATAATAAATTTATAATCAATGACTTTTTCCTTATTTAAAAATGAAAATTTTTGTTGTGAAAATGAAACGTTACACATAAACATCAACAACCTCACACACTTCATCAATGATTGTCCCATATTCATAACTATTGAATGAGTACAAAAGCAGAGGTGAGTTTACATAGATGGTTGGTGGGTCACTTGACCCACCTTAATTTTCAAACCTTATAATAAGTTATATAGGAAAAAAATTAGGAACCATCTTGAAAAATTTTTAGGACCTACCTTATAGTGTTTGATCAAAATAGGTGATCAATTTTAACGACCTAATTAGTTGATTTATAAATTTATCTATATCTAACCTGTAACAGCCCGAAATCTCAGGTATTGTTAAATTATGTTTTGGGGTGAGTTAAGAGGGGACTCGGCGAGTTGGAGCCTAGACTCGCCGAGTAGGACCGCAGACTTGGTCGCGGGATCGCGACCGGACTCGACGAGTCCAGATATGGACTCGGCGAGTCTACGCTGTTTAGCGAAAACCCTAACCGTTCAGGTTTGGGTCGTATATAACGCATCATATGCCGTCATTGTTCGTTTTTAGTCGATTGAGAAGAACCCTAAACGGCTGTGGGCATCTAGAGCAAGTTTGAAGGGTATTAGGGCTTTTGAAGAATTTGTGGTGCAAGGAGGAGAAGAGTTTTGGCTAAAGGAACTGCAAGGGATTCGAGTTCTGCGGTTTGGGGACACAGAGAGTGCGTTATTCAGGTAATATCTCGAATTCCTTCTGTATTGTTGATGTGTGTATGGATTTAGGGTTTATGGAACCCATTTGGTGGTTAGATGAATTAATACATCGTTACCCAAACGACTATACCTCTGTATTAGGACCCTTAGAGGTCCAGAAGGTCCCATGTTTGTGTATGTCGGGACAAAACTTATCTCAGGAAGCAGTTTGATCGACTGCATGGCATGGACTCGCCGAGTCCGATGAACAGACTCGGCGAGTAGCTTGGAGATTACTGGAACTCGTCGAGTTGTTCTTCAGACTCGACGAGTGGAGTCGGGGTGGCCCCGCGATTCTTCCACGAGGATCTCGTCGAGCCAAGAGGGATACTCGACGAGTAGAAAGGGAACATCAAGGGAAGTTGGGGAGGACGTCTAGACTCGCCGAGTCCGGTCGAGTTGACCGTTGACCAGAGTTGACCTAAGTCTGACTTCTTAGGGATAGTCACACTTAGAAGATATAAGTGTTAATGAGGGATATGTGATGTTATAGGGAGGTTGTAGCTCGTCGGATTGTGCACGAGTGATTTCAGGATTTGCTAGCTT